CTAAAGGCGTGGAAAAGGGTCCTTTACTTTTTTTTTAAAAACTTTTACAATATACAGGTATATGCCCAATACACACGAAGGCTTGGACCGGTGTCCTTCACTTTTGTGTTGCTAAAAATTGTATCTTTAGTGCATAACAGTGTAGGCATACATTCATTTTTTGAGCGCAAGAAAATACAAGTTTAGATCAACTATGGGATCGTCAATTAGAAGGATCCTCTTTTCGTCTCCCTGCTTGTCGATCGATATACGTAATATGGCATTATATCCCTTCAGGGGTCTTTTGTCTTGATCAATGTCTCTTTCACAGAAATTTAAAAAAAAAAATCGATAAAAGGAAACATAGCGCGCCTATACAATTGACACAGATCGAGTTTTTTAGATTTTTAAAATTATTTTTTGAATAGGAGAAATACAAAGTATGGAGATACCTTTTGGTCAGAATTTTGTCTTAATCTCTAATTAAATGTGTCTGTTATTCTATTAATTATATATTTTAGGTAAGTCGATGCGAACGCTTCGTAATGCCGGGATGCCGGGTTCGATCCCAGCTACCGTCCATGCGCCTTGCGTTGGTTTCGACAGTGGTATCAAGAAAGCCGACCGTCCAGCAGCAATGGCAAACTACTTGACGTAGATTTGCCTAGAAAAACCACACAACAGACAGGGGCTGTTGGGGTTGGTTCTGCAACGTCCTGTAAAGGATACGCAAGCAATATATTTAAGGAAACTTGTACACACTACTCATGAAAAATAAATACATCCTTGTTTTGTTTTTTGTAAATGTTTTGACAAATATTTTTTTTATAGCAAACATTCTTCTTCTTCTTTGTGTTCACTACCTGTAAATTCTGGCGGAAAGTTCTGGTTGTTCGTCCACTTTTGGACTGCAGTCCTGTTCCAGAACCTGAATGTTACGTGTGCATCCGTTTTACAGATCTGACTCATTTGTATGCAGACTGCTGTTTCCTTGTTTTTCAGGCAAATGCACTCCGACTTCGAAGGAATCTCCCGAATAGTCGACTCTTACGACATGCTTTTGGGTAGGAAGTATGTCTATTATATTTTGCCCTAAATAGGGCCCCAGAACCCACACAGTGAAATATAGCGAAATGAAAGCATTGTTAGTGGAACAGATTTTTCAAAGTACTCATGCACTCAGTTTCAGAACTCCTTTGTCTTTACCTCTTCTCCAACTACTTACCCCTGTTTGAAACTTCCGTGCGCTACCACCCCCTTCCCAGGTTGAAAACCACTGAAAATAAGTAATTAAATTAGAGGGACGACTACAACTCTGGGCTGTCCTGCAGGGGACCTGGGTGCGAATGCTGGGTAATGTGATGGAGATTTTTGCCACTTGGGGGCTGGGTTAATCTGGTAACCAAAAATGTAATGTAAAAAAGACAGAAAAACACGCACTCTAGTGCGGTTCCGAACTTAATACCTTCAGACCGGCAGGCTAGCTCCAAGTTAATGCTCTTCTTCCTCTTTTTTCTTCGCATTTATAAGTTGTAAACACAGAAGGAAAGATCTGGTTCGTCCACTTCTTCACTGTAGTCCAATTCAGGACTTCAATTTCGCGTGTGCATTGCGTTTTATAGATCTGACTCATTTGTATGCAGACTGTTAGTTCCTTACCTCTCAGGTAGATGTTCTCTGGCTTTGAAGAAAGCTCCCGATTGGTCGACTCATAGAAAATGGTTTTGGGTAGGCAGTGGGTCTATTCTTGTTTTTTTTTCCATAGTGGCACCATGGAACTCACACGGAGCGTCACCGCTCTAACAATGTTCCTTTTTGTTAACATTAATTTTTGTAAAATCTTAAAGGATGAGGATTGGGAACATACAGTGAGCCAGCAGGCATTTGAGTACCAAACTGAGTGGACTACATCTGTCGTTAATGGATTTTGTATCCATACACACATGTGTTAGAAACAAATGACATATTTGGACAATACTGTCACAAACAGTGGGAAATTCACCAGGCGTTTGTTTCAAACTGTGTAATCATTGATTAGTACTGCATCAATGTGTCCGACAACTAAACACACAGGGAGTGTTTGAACAGGCTTCTGGTTATTCGCTAGAAAAACTCGACCAAAATGACAATGTGTGGTGCTATCAGAATATGAAATGGGACAACTGGATCTCGACTCACAACTGACAACATGGTCTGTTTAAATATAGACTCTGTACGGCGTATCTCAGAAATCCCAATGACCTAGATTTAACTTGTCATGCCCGTGTGTCTTTGCGTCGCTGATTTTTTTTTTCGGGGCTTAGGGTAAAGAAACTTTGACAAAATGAAAATATATTAAGTGCAGAAAGTAACGGACCTATTCCACGCTTTCCGGTGTATTGGGCTAATAGGGCTAGCCCTGTATTTTATAACCATGATGTAGTCAACCATGATGTAGTCAACTATGCTGCAGTCAACCATGATGTAGTCTGTCTAGTCAACCATGCTGTAGTCAACCATGCTGTAGTCAACCATGCTGTAGTCAACCCTGCTGTGATCAACCATGATGTAGTCTGTCTAGTCATCCATGATGTAGTCAACTATGCTGTAGTCAACCATGATGTAGTCAACCATGATGCAGTCAACCATGCTGTAGTCAACCATGATGTAGTCAACCATGATGTAGTCAACCATGATGTAGTCTGTCTAGTCATCCATGATGTAGTCAACCATTCTGTAGTCAACCATGCTGTAGTCAACCATGCTGTAGTCAACCATGCTGTAGTCAACCATGATGTAGTCTGTCTAGTCATCCATGATGTAGTCAACCATTCTGTAGTCAACCATGCTGTAGTCAACCATGCTGTAGTCAACCATGCTGTAGTCAACCATGCTGTAGTCAACCATGCTGTAGTCAACCACGATGTAGTCTGTCTAGTTATCCATGATGTAGTCATCTATGCTGTAGTCAACCATGATGTAGTCAACCATGCTGTAGTCAACCATGCTGTAGTCAACCATGATGTAGTCAACCATGCTGTAGTCTGTCTAGTCAACCATGATGTAGTCAACCATGATGTAGTCTGTCCAGTCAAACATGATGTAGTCAATCATGCTGTAGTCTGTCTAGTCAACCATGATGTAGTCAACCATGATGTAGTCTGTCTAGTCAAACATGATGTAGTCAACCATGCTGTAATCTGTCTAGTCAACCATGATGTAGTCAACCATGCTGTAGTCAACCATGATGTAGTCAACCATGATGTAGTCAACCATGATGTAGTCTGTCTAGTCAACCATGATGTAGTCAGCCATGCTGTAGTCAACCATGATGTAGTCTGTCATGCTGTAGTCAACCATGCTGTAGTCAACCATGATGTAGTCAACCATGCTGTAGTCAACCATGCTGTAGTCAACCATGATGTAGTCAACCATGATGTAGTCTGTCTAGTCATCCATGATGTAGTCAACCATTCTGTAGTCAACCATGCTGTAGTCAACCATGCTGTAGTCAACCATGCTGTAGTCAACCATGATGTAGTCTGTCTAGTCATCCATGATGTAGTCAACCATTCTGTAGTCAACCATGCTGTAGTCAACCATGCTGTAGTCAACCATGCTGTAGTCAACCATGCTGTAGTCAACCACGATGTAGTCTGTCTAGTCATCCATGATGTAGTCATCTATGCTGTAGTCAACCATGATGTAGTCAACCATGCTGTAGTCAACCATGCTGTAGTCAACCATGATGTAGTCAACCATGCTGTAGTCTGTCTAGTCAACCATGATGTAGTCAACCATGATGTAGTCTGTCTAGTCAAACATGATGTAGTCAACCATGCTGTAGTCTGTCTAGTCAACCATGATGTAGTCAACCATGATGTAGTCTGTCTAGTCAAACATGATGTAGTCAACCATGCTGTAATCTGTCTAGTCAACCATGATGTAGTCAACCATGCTGTAGTCAACCATGATGTAGTCAACCATGATGTAGTCAACCATGATGTAGTCTGTCTAGTCAACCATGATGTAGTCAACCATGCTGTAGTCAACCATGATGTAGTCTGTCATGCTGTAGTCAACCATGCTGTAGTCAACCATGATGTAGTCAACCATGCTGTAGTCAACCATGCTGTAGTCAACCATGATGTAGTCAACCATGATGTAGTCAACCATGCTGTAGTCAACCATGATGTAATCAACCATGATGTAGTCAACCATGATGTAGTCAACCATGATGTAGTCAACTATGCTGTAGTCAACCATGATGTAATCAACCATGATGTAGTATGTCATGCTGAAGTCTGTCATGCTGTAGTCAACCATGATGTAGTCAACCATGATGTAGTCAACCATGATGTAGTCAACCATGCTGTAGTCAACCATGATGTAATCAACCATGATGTAGTCAACCATGATGTAGTCAACTATGCTGTAGTCAACCATGATGTAGTCAACCATGATGTAGTAAACCATGATGTAGTCAACCATGATGTAGTCAACCATGATGTAGTCAACTATGCTGTAGTCAACCATGATGTAGTCTACCATGATGTAGTAAACCATGATGTAGTCAACCATGATGTAGTCAACCATGATGTAGTCAACTATGATGTAGTCAACCATGATGTAGTCAACCATGATGTAGTCAACCATGATGTAGTCAACTATGATGTAGTCAACCATGCTGTAGTCTGTCATGCTGTAGTCTGTCATGCTGTAGTCTGTCATGCTGTAGTCATGTATGATGTAGTCATCCATATTGTAGTCTGTCATGCTGTAGTCATGTATGATGTAGTCATCCATATTGTAGTCTGTCATGCTGTAGTCATGTATGATGTAGTCATCCATATTGTAGTCTGTCATGCTGTAGTCATGTATGATGTAGTCATCCATATTGTAGTCTGTCATGCTGTAGTCATGTATGATGTAGTCATCCATATTGTAGTCTGTCATGCTGTAGTCATGTATGATGTAGTCATCCATATTGTAGTCTGTCATGCTGTAGTCATGTATGATGTAGTCATCCATATTGTAGTCTGTCATGCTGTAGTCATGTATGATGTAGTCATCCATATGTAGTCTGTCATGCTGTAGTCATGTATGATGTAGTCATCCATATTGTAGTCTGTCATGCTGTAGTCATGTATGATGTAGTCATCCATATTGTAGTCTGTCATGCTGTAGTCATGTATGATGTAGTCATCCATATTGTAGTCTGTCATGCTGTAGTCATGTATGATGTAGTCATCCATGTTGTAGTCTGTCATGCTGTAGTCATGTATGATGTAGTCATCCATATTGTAGTCTGTCATGCTGTAGTCATGTATGATGTAGTCATCCATATTGTAGTCTGTCATGCTGTAGTCATGTATGATGTAGTCATCCATATTGTAGTCTGTCATGCTGTAGTCATGTATGATGTAGTCATCCATATTGTAGTCTGTCATGCTGTAGTCATGTATGATGTAGTCATCCATATTGTAGTCTGTCATGCTGTAGTCATGTATGATGTAGTCATCCATATTGTAGTCTGTCATGCTGTAGTCATGTATGATGTAGTCATCCATATTGTAGTCTGTCATGCTGTAGTCAACCATAATGTGGTCAAGTATGTGGTATGATTTTAGGTGTCAGCCTCGATGTCAAGGCCTTCTTTATCTTTTTTTTTTTTTTTTTTTGCGTTTACTGACTGCTGAACTTTAATCTTGGTCAAGAACCTGAGTGTTGCGTGCACATCTGTTTTACAGATCTGATTTTATTTCTCTGCATACTGTTGGTTCCTTGCCTCTCAGACAGACACACTCCGACTTCGAAGGAAGCTCTCAGTAAGTCGACTCTTACGACATGCTTGTTGGGGAGGCAAAAGGTATGTTCTTGTTTTCCCTACAATAGGGCCTTGGAAGCCACACGGGGATATGCGTGTGCATTTGTTAGAGTATGTGTTTATACGCTAGAACATTACACGGCGTCCAAATTTGCTCCTAACTGCTCCTGCTCAATCTCATTTCAGTCAGGAACATTTTGCAGTTTTCAGATTGCCTTCCCTATCACGTCCTCCAATAACTTTATTAAGAATATGTCTTTCAGATCCCGCATGGATCAAAGCACCCCCTCCCCCCTTCCTCGCCCATCCGCACTCTAATATTAATCATGGCTCTATCCATAATCTGAAATTGATCAAAACTTCTCTCCGACCATACGATGCCCCCTCAAGGGTATTTTTCAGATTCCGTCAAAACTCGCAAAGCTGGCATCTGCCCTTATGAATTTGACCCGTCGGGACACGCAGTGACTTTGGCTGAGACCATATTGGTATATTAGAGTTGGAGTATGGCAGAGTGAAAAGGGGGGAGCGGTGGGAGGGGTGTGATGAGGAGGGGCTCTTGAGGAAGGAGTTGGCGTGAAATGGAAATCGATATTCTTTGGTTAACATTCGGGGGAAAGGGAGATTCGAACTATGGTTTTGATGAGAGAGAAGGGCGAGGGAGTGATACAGATACTGAGGATTGAAGAGGAAGGCGGGAGTGTTGGAACTACGGGTAATTTCAGAGGTATGAAGGGGTAATATGTTTGCAGCAGGTTTGAAGAAGGAGACGGAATTGGTACAAATGCAGCGCTTTATACGAGGGTTAAAGAAGTGAAAGGTTTGTATAGGATTGTGGACTGGACAAGAAGAAGAAGCGATAAAAACACTGTGAGGAACAAAGTAGTGGAAAGGGGTTATGGATGCGGCTTTAATTTACCGGTTGGGGGGGGGGGGTTGTTTGAGGGTGGGGGGGGGTTGAGGGGGGGTGAGGGTGGGGGGGGGAGGGGAAGTGATGGATGCGGCTTTGAATTAACCGGGTGGGTGTTGAGGGGAATGATGGATGCGGCTTTGAATTAACCGGGTGGGGGTTGAGGGGGATGATGGATGCGGCTTTGAATTAACCGGGTGGGGGTTGAGGGGGATGATGGATGCGGCTTTGAATTAACCGGGTGGTATAGTTGGAAGGGGAGGGTTGGCGGTGGGGGAATGAATGCCAAACAACATGTGATTTTAGTGGTCTTTTATTGTGTGTGTGTGTGTGTGTGTGTGTGTGTGTGTGTGTGTGTGTGTGTGTGTTTTTGTTTGCGGTAAAGGATGAGAGAGAAAGAGCAACACAAGGTAGATCTTTCGAAGGGGAAGGAAGTGAGACGATTATACATGTAATCGGGGTATGTCCAAACTGGTATAAAATATACTAAGCGTATTTCACTATCAACTTGTCTTAGTTCTCTCTGTCTCCCTCCCCCCTTCCTCGACCACCCCTTCCCCCCCTCTCCCCCCCTCCCCAGAATATAAGGTAATGCTTCTATCTGTATGAGGTAAGAGCAGTTGCTTCACAATCCTCGATTAACTTAACTTCGATGTCCACACTGACCGTGTTGAACATTACTGTTCATGTGGCTTTCAGACGGTGGTGGAGGGAATCTGACCATCAAAGTTCCGACACCATATTACAGTATCAAGTCGTCCCCCTCTGGAACCTCTCCTCGGGTGATCCTCATCCGCATGGTGCCACCGGGTGTTTATCGCTTGTGTGATGTCCTGGTGGGTTACAACTACCTACCTACCTACCTAACTACCAACCGACACCATGTTCACGGGCAACCCCATAGTTGCACTGCCCCTGTGCCAACGACACACTGGATGTCTATTACTGTCCGTAATGAAATAGACTCACACTTTAATCTTGACAAATCCAAAAGCTTACAGGCGACCTGAATGCATAAGCCAGCTGTCAGAATTGCCAAGTGTCCAAATCAGAAGTTTAGCATGTTCAAATAAAGATGAACATACGATAAATCCGACAGACTGGTAGGCAGTTTATTTCTTCAACTGATATCGCTTGACAATTATGGAGGAAATTACAGGAAAAGCGCTATATTATCAGTGTTGTTAAGACCGGAAATATACAAAAGGTATTCGAAAAGGTGAACAGCAACAGAAAAAACGCAAACGTGAAATATTCAGTACTTGGAATGTTAGCGGACTAGGAAATAAAGATACAAAACTAATTGAATTCGTGAAGAAAACAAACATCCATACATTAGGATTAGCTGATACGAAAAAAAAAAAGGGACAAAATGCAGGACAGCAGATTTTCTAGTCCGCTACATATCAGGTTATAGGGTACTTGAATTTAATGAGGCAAGTTGAAGTATTTAAATATCTAGGAAGTAAATTCCCGGCGAACGGGAGAATAGATCAAGCAATAGAGACAAGATGCCGGCGAGCAAGTGCACTTATATCCTAACTGGCACGGTTGTTAAGGTATCCAAATATAAGTATGATAGCCAAGAAACAGATTACAAACAGCATATTCATACCATCACTCGGCTATCAGTGCCAGATTTAGACATTATGAACGTCTAACCTACGCAACTTTAACACGTGTGAAAAAAGATGTCTGAGAAAAGCTGCCAACCTAACCCTCCGAGAGAAAGTTAGAAATGATAATATCGGATAAATTGTAGGAGCAACGTCATGAAGCAGTTTTACTGAGAAACAGAAAATCAAATGGTTTGGCCGTCCATTAAGATTGCGGCCAGTATAACTACCAACTCAGGCGTTACAAATGAAAAGATCTGAAGTCAAATTAAAAGGCAACCCTATAAGAATATCGAATGATGACATTAAAGAGCTTCTACAACGACACAGACTGATAATAGCCATTGCCGCCCATCAACAATGGATCACAAACTTTTCCTCCCAATAACGCTTAAAGATACAAGTGGAAAATGGACTATGCTGATGACGATGAGTAGTTGACTCGCAAGTAATCATATAGGCGCCTAAAGTTCGGTGCCAATAGGTCACTTGCTACTTTCCTAATCCTTAGTTCACACCACAAACCACGCCGAGCACAGTCCAAAAGCACTAACAAAGTTCGTAGTTCGCAGTATCATGCAACTGGCAACGAAACTATATGCTTTCAGTCCAAATATAGAGGAAAACACAACGACTAACCACAGTGAGATGCAGGAAACCTTATTACATCTAAAAATAATCAGCGTTTCTATCCGCCTTATTGGAGCAGGCAGTGGCAAGTGAGGCGCATCATGAATGAGATAAGAAACAACCCTACCACTACAGAAATGCCTGCACTACAGGCTACTCTCCATGCGCGTTTTGTGGCCCCATAACAAAATAACAAAGAACAGATACAAGTCTCTCTAGCAAGCGGTCATAAAAGGCGACTAGTTAGGGATGTTTCGTTCGAAGTCAAAGTGTATCTACCAGACAGGCAAGTAACCAACAGTCTTCTTCTTCTTCTTCTGCCTCTCTATCCCCCAGTGGAGCATAGGCCCTCAACCAACTCACGCCAAGTCGTTCTATCCTTCGCCATTGCATGGAGCTCTCCGCATGTCCTCCCAATCTTTCTAACTTCACTCTCCAGCTCTCTTCTCCATGTGTTTTTTTTTTTTTGGCCTTCCTTTATTCCTATGCCCCTGTGGGTTCCAATGCAAAGACATTCTAGTTATGCTGTTCTCCTGTTTTCTCAGCGTGTGCCCTATCCAACGCCAGCGTCTTTTCCTCACCTCCTGATCCACTGGAGCCTGTTTAGTTCTCTCCCAAAGTTCTACATTAGTTATTCTATCATACCATTTTATTCCCTCTATTCTGCGCAGGCACCAGTTAATGAATGTCTGTAATTTATTAGTAATTGCCTTGGTTGTTCTCCATGTTTCCGCCCCATACAATAGTACTGATTTGACATTAGAATTAAAAAATTTTAGTTTAGTATATCTTTTAATTTCTTTTGACCTCCACAAATTCCCTAGTGCTATGAAAGCCTCTCTTGCCTTTTGTATTCTTATTTTAATATCTCTATCAGTTCCTCCATCTTTATCTACATTACTGCCTAAATAGGTGTACGACTCCACGTCTTGGAGTGGGGTGCCATTAAGAGAAACCACATTACATAAGTATTTTTCATAACAAAAATAAAGTTCAGGATCAAGACCAAAGTCCATAAGAGAACGAACAACCAATACTTTCCGCCAGGGTTTACAGTAGATGAACGCTTGGAAACATAACAGAACTGCAGGCAACCTCAGTCGGGGAGACAAACAATTCAATTTATTCACAGTGGTTTACTAAATGTAAGCGTGAATATCAGTATCGGACGGTGTGTGCCTGCATACGCTTATTTATATACACTTTATATTTTATATTTTTAACCCTACCAGAAGTTGTAGGATGTAAATCAAATATGAATGAATGAATGAATCCAGACTCACATCACTGCACTCGTGACAAACCCACACGTGCTCCGTCACCATCCTCAGCAGCCAGCGAAGAGTCTACCTGCTATCACTACCAGTTTCATGACAAATATGCCTGAGTTTCCCCCATCGGTGTTTCATGTCTTCCAGAACCTCTGTTGAACTCCCCTCCCCAACCCCCGTTAAATTAGTCTTTCAGAGTACTGATTCCTTAGTCACGGAAAGTAGAGGCGGCCGGCGTGATGCTGACCACATCACCCATCTTGTGCCGATTGGTCTATAAAATATAGGTATAGCCCTAATGGCGTGGAAAAGGGTCCTTTACTT